TTCTTATTTTTATCAAAATAATTCCATCTACTAAGGGGCATCTTGTACACGAACGATCCCATGATGACCTTGACTTCGATATCCGCTTGTTTAAGAAGCTCTTTCTCTTGATTTGTTAGAAACGACGCGTCTAGCTTTTTTTCTGAACCTGCCGGGAGGGCTAGTCGTGCCTGTTGAGGTGCCATGTCAGATGGAGTCATTCTCTTTTCCATTATTACTTTGACTTCGCTGATATCTTCTTTATTGTATCCCAAATTACGCGTCACATGCTCGATAATTGAGGCTTTAGTAGCATCATTATTATGATCAACAAAACATAATTTAATAGCAGGCTTCTTGATCTTCTTCACTTTAGGTTTGTTGTTGTTGCTGCTGATCACGTGCACGGGGGTTTTCGAGGCCTCGCCGGGTTGTTTGTTGCTGTTGTTTAAAGGTTGTTGTTGTTGTGAAGGTGGTTTGGCAAAGGTAATCTTTAAGTTGAAATTAGGGTTTCTCATAATGTAACATTCTCTTTGTATCTTGGATTTTGGTTCATCATCATCTTTGGTGTTTGGATTTGTTGGTAAGGAAGACGAGGTTGTAGCATCATTGTTTCGTTTCTTGTTGATCATGGTGCTGGTGTTCTCTTGGCTTTCATCTGATTTCTCCGTCGAAATCGATCGAGAAATTAAGAAGAAGGATGAACAATTAAGGGAGAAAGATTTCAAGGGAATTGAATGAAGGTATCTATGGTACGTCGAACTGAAATAAGTAAACAAGTATATATAAGAAAATGTACGTGAATCAACAGTTTGGGATGATTTAGGAGTGATGAGCAAACTTTGTGAGCAAGTCACCTAATATATTTGTTTTAGTAGTAATAGGATAGTTTTTAGAAAATAAAATCCAAAGATTTTGTTCAATAACATGATAATCTTATTTTCTTAGGAAATAATATCTAAAATCCTCGATTATGATAGCAGATACTCGAACATTTTAGGAAACTTTTTAGTTTGGAAGCTAATAGACTACGAGTATCACTTACAATGGGTTTTGTTGATATAACATCTGATGTTTTACAAATTTATGATATAATCTCAATTTTTTTAATAATAATATTAATAACTCCTCACAATTGTAGTCCAAGGATTTGGCGCCAAAACTATATACTACCTCCGTGAACTATATTATTTGCAACAAGAAATGTTTTATATCTCACAAATGATATTTACATTGATATCATTAGCAATTATTTTTCAGACTTATAATGTGGGCAACCAAAAAGATATAAAGCCTATCATAATCCGAATCAAACTTGACCTGAAATCTGACATGACCCAACCTGAACCCATCTTGAATATCCAATTTGACACCGGCCTCTAGCCACAAGTATTAAATAGCTTATTAAGATACGGAGTACGAGTAATATATAGCTAGTCATTATAGCTTAAAGTAGATAAAATAATAATAATTAGTTTAAAAGTTATGTGATATATCAAGCTAATTTGACCATTAGCTTGTCATTGGAGTTGTTGCTCTAAAGAGTCACGATCCTAGTTGATTGAGTACCTCTTAGCTCTCAAGGATTAGCATTTCTGCAGTGCTTTTGCAATTAAGTTTGCTAAATTCAATGAAGCTTATGTTGCTTAATTTAATTTGTCTATAAAACAGTAATCACCATGCATGTATGCTCATTCAAATCAACAACATTACAAAGTATTAATACAAATGAATTGTTACAGAATATAAGCCACCAATTAGTCAATTACAATACATTAGAATTCTTTAATTTCTATCAATAAAAGCTTCCAACATTATATAAGTTCTGAGGTTAACATTATGTATCAATTATTAATCTTTAAATATAGGTTTAGTAATATTATCACGGATTCACAGTGCTTGACGGCTTGTTACCTCAATCGAGTGAAGCCCAAATCGGCACGTGCTGCCGCCAATTCATGTGTATATAATTATGTACACGTGACATTTCTTTACTTCACCTTATTTATTTCACATTGTTATTGTACATTTGTACGTAGTGGTTGTTACTGATTTTTTTATAAGTCAGATTTACAAAAATAAAAATAAATCAGAAAAAGCTAGATGGACTCAATAATACTAGGTAAATCATATATATATATATATTTTTTTTTCCATCTGTAGAACTGATCAAATATTCAACAACATTTTAACAGTGAGCTACTTAATGAATAATTTCTCTTAGTTAATTTACCACTAATAAGTAGTATGAATTCAGAGTTAAGCTGCCAATGAAAGTATAGTATAGTACTAGTAATGATAACAGATTCAGATTCAGGGAAGTAGAAAGTAAGTGAAGTTCAAATAAATAAAATAAAAAAAAAATTAAACTGAAGAACAAACTTAATTCATAATACCATCATATCATAAGTATCAAAACTAGGGTGTACTGTACTACGGAGTACAAGATTAAGAGATCAGATAACAACCCTCTTAATTAAACTAGATATATAGTCATTATTACACATCAAAATAAGCTAGAAACCAATAACAAAACAGATTAAACTAGATGCTATTTAAACTAACAGAATCACCTTTAATCAAGTTAATGATTCATGCATAATTAGTAACTTATCTTAGCTTGAAACTAAACCATTTTTTGCAATGCAATAATCCCATGCAAAATACTGATTAATTAAGGAGCCACCAACAAGATTAAAGAGACAGTGAGAGGTCTATACTTTTTCCTCCTGAACGCTGGTGTTGTTGTTGGTGATTCTCCAGGGGAAAAGGACTTAGCATGACCGCGGCCGGTGGCGGCGGAGTGTGCACCATACCACCCATACCCATACCCATTGTATTACAAAACCCGCCACCGCTACCGGTATCATCAAAGTAACCATCAGAAGGCGGCGCCACCACTGGACCACCGCACCCACAACCGCAAGTAGTACCAGAAACAGTATTAGGATAGAAAAAACCAGCTGCATCAGAATGTAGAGGTGCTGAACCATACACCGCCTCCATTAATCCATTATTATTAGTATTAATAACATGATTATTATTATTAGTGGTAGTAGTAGAATGATTAACCTCAAAATTAGTACACCCTCCTCCTGCTGCTGCATTCCCATACCCAAACCCGTATCCGTATCCGTACCCGAATGAATACGAACACCCATCTCCATACCCAGAACTCACCGGAAAACCAGCAGCGGCGGTAGGATTAACGACGGCGGCGGCTAGCTGTTGGTGGGAAAACAGAGTAGCAGGAAAGTAAAGAGACCCAACTCCTCCGCCTTGAACAACGTCGTCTTCAGTGGAATAATAGGTGTTATTGGGGGTGTTAGAGGCGGCGGAGGTGGGAGATTCCGACAACAAAAGACGGCGAGCGGCGGCTCTTTGAGCTTTATGGGCATTTTGATGGCCACCCAAAGCTTGAGAAGAAGTGAAGGTTCTAGAACAATAATTGCAGCTAAATACTCTGTTGTTATTATCACTGCAACACTTCTTCGTTTTGGGCTCTTTTCTGGGTTTTTCTTCGTAAATCGAGAGAGTTGAAGAGTTGTTAGTGTAGTACGAAGGGTATTTTAGGAATTCATACAAGCTTCCATGGATAATAATACTGTTATTGTTATTATTATTATTATCTGAATTATCCCCCATTTTTGGAGTTGAGTTTGAGATGAAACTCTGATAAAATGATTAGGAAGAAGAAGAAGAGAGAGAAAATATAAGAGTTTTGGATTTGTTAAGAGGGGTTTTATAGAGAGAGAAAGCTAGAGGGGTTTAGCTGTCCTTGATTTTGTAGTGCTGCAGTGATTCCAACAAATTCCAATTATTCCCAAATTCCGTTATCCAATTTTATCTTTACCTTGATTTTGTAGAGGAAACTGTTATTAATTTTTGATATATGACCATTTTAACCTTCTCCAATATTCTTGTAATAATGATTATTCATGTATAGTACTCCGTTACAATATTTAAATGTCCGTGTGTAACTCATGTGTCATTTTGTCCGAAATCATAGCATGAGTAGAGATACATAATAGATAGAGTACGAATGGAAGTATTATATATCAACGTAGCTATTAATGACGGATATTTTTAAAATAGAGTGAAATGAAGTGATGGAGGGAGGTAGGTAGGTAAGAGATTGTGCACGACAATTGTACATATACTAGACCACCTGATGATGAATAATAGAGTACTAAAAAGTTGAAAGATATGAAAAGAAAAGGTGAGTAGTACTAGTACAAATTAAAAAGCACGTCGTCAAGTGAAGTTGGAGGGCGCCCCTCCCCCCCACTCCAAGTTTCTGTAATTTTTGCAGATTGTCAGTTTTCATCTTATTCTCTCTCTGTCCGTACCAATTGGAAAGTAAGCAAATCAAAGGAGAGATCACCACGTGGCCCAACCACAATGAGGATGGTTGTTTTTATTACAACCATAAATCTTTTTATTCAAAAAAATTATCTAAAGTCGAATTGTTAATCTAGCTCCATCAAGTTGTGAAATTAAATGGTATACAATACGACTTACTTTACATTTTGTATGAGAAGTTTCGAAATAAGCAATTGTTGTTGATCTAATATGGTGAAATTTGGCAAATGTTAACAAAGGAGTCATTATAAAAATGTGTTAAATAAAAATTCGAGAAGATAATATTGCTATGATTGTATGGATGGGTTTAAAGGAGGTTATAGATGTCGGGGTCATGTTTTATATTGTATGTTGTACATTTGCATGAGAGTGGAAGGAGATACATATGTCATGCATACAAGGTATGGGTAAGGGGGGGTCTTATACGTTATACTCTAAGCTCTTGTAATTTCACTAGATATTAATTGAAATTGACTATTCATCTTTATTACTCACATTATTACTTCCCAAAATCATTGTCCGTACTTGTAAAACATATATTTTGAAGAAGAAGAAAATATCGTATTATAGATTTTTTTTTATTTTGTTCAACACGGTTACTATATTGATACATAAATTTAAAAAATAAAAAAGGTGAATTAAGTAAGAAAGATTGCGAGTGAAAAATACAAGTACTATATTAAATGAACAATAACATGTTTATTTACATTATTGTTTTATTTCTTCCTAAGTAATGTACAAATAATAAACACTATTTGTATGTAGTATTTGATTTCCTGAAGTTGCATTACAGGCCTTCCTCTTCTCTTTAGTTTGCAGGACTTTAGGTGATGGGCCTGCCATGTTTGGGCCTTTCTTATTGGGCCGATCATTCAACGTTAGTGCAACAGGCCAAGAAGTACAAGCATATAGCTCATGCTAGCAGTCCATAGCACACAACAATCAGAAAATAAAATAAAATAAAATTTATTAAAGTAATTGTCAGCTGTACAGATGAAAGTAAACTTAAGAAGACTCCCAAGTTGGAATCATTATGATGAATGTAGATTTACAATATGTACAGAGTCAGAATAAGGAGATCAATCGCCGAAGTCGTAGTACTTTGGATCTGCTGGGAAATGGTATTCCACATTCAACTGCAACCACAACATCAATAAGTTCACTATCAGAAGAAGCTCAGTGCATAACAAAGACATTCAAACTTAGCAACCAAAAATCAACAAGGGTACTATGGAAGAAGCTCAATTCATTGCAAAGACATTATCAGAGTAAACCTTATAATGACAAATGGAAGTAGGTTCCCTTCCAGATCATTTTTACTCATAAAAACTATAGCCATTGCCATTTCTAAGCAGTACTTTGGAGCAAACATCTAACGGTAAAATTCCTACATTCAGAAGTCAGAAGTCAGAACTAAGCCACCCGCAAACTTCAGCCACTCGGATTTGAGGAAAGCAGATGGCTAATGCATTAGGGCAAATATTTGTGCGTGATGAGCCATTAAACATTGCAATTGCAATAGTTGGAATTTTGGAAAAATCAGGGAAAAAAGTTGGACATAAAAGGAGACTTTTGTTGAAGTTAGTGATGTCTCTTTGGAAGTTTAAAATATTCGCACGATTTGGAAAAAAAAAAAAAATTCTAACTAGAAGCAAAATACTTCGTATGTAATAAGCTTAGTTTGAAGCTTTATTGTACAAAAAGAGTATAAGTGAAGCAAAAAAGTTCAAATCATACTATCATATAGTAATAAGGACACATACCTTGCCTTCATCGGAATCAGTATGCCTTTGAGGGAATACAACTCTCAGGTCATTGTACAAGTAAAATCTCCTTTCCCGTTCATTTTCTCCAGAATTACCTCTTGGAGAACATTTCTTTAGTGGAGGACACATAAAACGAAGATGCAGAGCATATCGTAGGGTTCCAGAACCGTTAACGTTCTCTTTAACCTTAAATGAACCAAGTGAAGCTTTCTTCCCACTTGCATTGCTCGCACCCTGGTAGAAATTTTCATGGCAATTGTTTTGACATTCACTTTTGTAGCCACTACAAGCAATTCCCATTTCTCTTAAATTATTATTACAGACACGGTGTCCTTCTTTCCCCGTAGAATCTGCTAAATTAGATAATCCATGACCTTTGACTGGAAAAGAGGATTTTGTACTACTGTTCGTATACCTTGGGTTCTCTTCACATGCAATTCTTGATGGTGTGTCCAGTCCCGCTGAAGAATTCTTATTTGAAGCTCCTGTGATCCTTTCCCTCACCGTCCTCTCACAGGATTTATGTTGTTCAGGTTCCGTAGAAATTTTAGTAGATTCAAGTGTGATCCTTTGGCGCATGAATGTCTGTGTCAATGAGAAACAAAATAAGGAATATGATCTAACCAAAATACAAAACAAGTGGCTCCAAATATTAATTATAATCTCAATCATTGGCTCATTGCCTAGATCAAAATTGAGAATTGTGAGGCTCAATTCTATAATAAAAAAAAGGAAACAGTTGCTTCAGTTACATCCAGCAGTATACAAAACAGCAATTGCCAACACATATTGTTAAAGAAGATAATGGATCTAATTTACAAAGAGAAATCACCGAAACGAGCAAAATAGCCCCATAATCTGTCCATACTACTTTGCTAGCCAGATAAGTAAGCAGTGGAACAAGATGCAGATAATAAAAGCAAATGTTCGGAAATTCACTCATAATTCTCCATCCAACTACTTTTAAAAACGAGATCCAATATTTACAAAAACCAAAAGGATAAACACGCGGAATTGATGTGGAAACAGAACAGGGGATAAACTACAATTTAATTATTTAACAGTATCATAAATGAATCCTAATTTACTGATAAAACCACAACCTCATATTGCGGATCTTCAAACCATATACCTCCATTATTGCACATCTAACATACATGTCTCAACCTAGAGCCACCCCCAACAGCTTGAAGGCACTCAAACTCGCAACTCCTATTCAAAATATATGCACTAACATCCAAAAATCCCTCAACCTATAAACTTTTAATAATAATCTCTTTTTCACACAATTTGCGTCTTCCTAGCTCTACAACTCTTGCAATGCACTTATGCACTATGTCTGCCTCTGACTAACCAATTTCTTCACAAACCAAAATAATCTGTTATATGAGGGCCCCTCATATTACCATCTAATCCAACCACATATCAGCTTGCGCTTGTTTCCTAGCAAGATGTTATAGTGCCATAAAAATTTATAGGCTCTAACCAGTAATAAGCAGAATTAGAACATAAATTTCACCTTGGTACCAGAGGGCATGTCACTCAGATCATAGTTGCAAAAGAAGGTATGAATAGGGGTTTTTTCCGGATTGCTGAGGACCTGCAGAGTGAAGTCAATTACAATTTTCAAAAAATCAGAACAAAATTGCTATACAATTTCTTTTAGAAAACAAAAGTATATATCCAAGAACAGCACAGCACAGCTTGTAATAAAAGGTTATCACAGAAAGATGAAAGTGCAAGTCCAACAACAAAATACCAGCTGTATCCGTCCTTTCATGGGAATGCGCAGTCTATTTTTGTCAACTCGTGCATCGTTATTGCTAAGACTTCTTTGGAACTTGTGGCCATAAATCCCACCGGAAGCAGCTCTACTGGGAAGATCTATGGATGCATAGTAGAGTAAGTAGCTATCTCCATCCACGCTGGTAACAGAAAATGGAAGTTTCTGCGACTTAGGTGAGAAATTTCCCCCGGTAACACTTAGAACAGCTAGGAAGCCATCAAGTTTCTAAGCAAAGACAAATATAACTGTAAGCTTAATAAAACATTAGAAGCCATTACTTTCTAAAAAAGAAAATAGGCAGAAACCTGAAGATCAAAGTAGTGCACCAACCTGATAGACACTATCAATGGGGAATCTACCTGACAAAAGAGATTCCTCAAATGAGCCAACCAAAGACCTCCGCACACAATGTCTACTCAAAGTTCTAATTGGCTTTCTGCTTTGAAGATTAGGGGCCAAGTCAGGAAAAAATGGCCAGATAAACCCCCCCGAAGAATCCAATGATGATGGCCGAAAGTCTTCTTTCGGTAACCTAGTGACATTGCACCCCTCTTTTTCAGCAGAAACGGGTGTGCCAGCATCAGGTCCATCAGGTGACAGTCTAATACTACTAATTGCAGTATATTCACTCTCTAACTGTCTTCTAATAGTCCTAAACCCATCTGCAGCTTCCATCCTATCACAAGATTTCCGACCAAGTGGAGAAGATGGAAGGGAATGGGAGGTCATTTTTTCCATGCATAAAAAGTTACCCCCAGCATGACTTCTTACTATGCTAGGTTTTTCCAGTTTGCTAAGTCCATTAGAGGATAAAAAAACATCAGATGATTCCTGGTCTAGTGGTGATGGGCCATCAACCAAAATGTACGAGGCCTTTCTACCACCTACATAAGATGTATTTATCTGCTCTCTGCAGTAAGAGTACGCCGAGATTGGGGTAGTCATTTGATCCTTCAATCTAGAATCATCTACTTTACGGTCTTGTGTCTCTGCACTACATGTTTTCTCAGTACTGACAGGAGACAGCATCCCATATCCCAGGTTTAAAACATCACGTTTGCAGTTATCAGGGATCATCAATTGGCTCAAGGGTGACAACATTCGCTTTCGAAGTGTTACACCACATGATCCAGTAACATTCACTGCACGATCAAATTCATCTGAAGAACTACTGTTACTCAATTCATCACATCGTACAGTTTCATTTGCTTGAAATCCTACAATCCTAGAAACAGGAGTAACATCCACCTCCTGCTTAGCATTGCAGCAACCAACACCCTCTTGCCCAAATTTCACTCTGGGAACATAAAGCACAATATCTCTATTCCTTCTTAACATTAAAGAGTCATCAGAAGTGCCTACACCCTTGTCTCCATTCTTCGAGAATTCTCCTCTTGGAGATATTGACGAATTCCCACATACTGAGCTTACATGTTCCCCACACAATCCATCCCGATCACGTGAGCTCACACTACTATAATGGGTAAGCTGGCTCAATTGTGCCAGACGTTCCTCATTAGACCCACTAGAGGATACTTGAGGCAAACCCATTGTGAAGCTTACTAGTACTACTATAAAAAAAAAAAAATCAAAAAAATCCAAATTGAAGGTTGAATCTTCAAGTTCCTCTACCTATCTATTGCAGTGGTCCATTAATTCAATCATCGCTTAATTTTCCAAATGAGCAACCCTTTAGATACCTCAAGCCGCCCTAAAGAATTCAATTCCATTTTATCGGTTATCCAAAAACTAAACATTCATACAATTACCACCCTTAAGTCTTCAACCATAAATCAACAAACAACGGCACAAAGAAGTCCAGTGCAACCTAACCATCCGACCATACATTAAAGTCCAAATCATTATCACCTCAAAGACCTTAGGCAATGGAGCTTACACAAGCCATTGTCATTTGTACCTGCAAATGTATCACAATACTTTAAAAATCGCGCATAATAGTGGACCGTCAAATTCAATGAAAGTTCAAGCAACCCCAATAAACCAAACATTATACAGATGCTACAAAAGTTAAAACCGCATACACCTCAGAAATTAGGCTCTTACAGTCTATAACATAACTACGAATTCACCAAATAATCAAGAATCAAATGCAATACAATCCAATAAACTCCAATTTCATATATTATTAACAAGAAGACAATATTATTACATAAAAACAGCCCATCAATAATGTAACATTAAAAGATAACAATAACAACAACAAAAATAACATGGTAATAATTTGCAAGACTAACTTAAACAAGACAACAATTATTCAAAGCTTATTACAGCTCCTGTCAATCTTTTCAAAAAATAAACAAAAAAAAATCTCAATTTAAATTCCCAAAACAATCAACCCAATTTAAAGTGATAAATTGATCAAACAAATCAAAATAATCACATAAAAAGTAAACAACCCGTTTAAAAAAAATCAAAGAACAGAAGAAACCCAAATAAATACGCACCAAATAGGAAGCCATTTTCAATCAAACTAATAAAAATCCATGAAAATCAGCAAAAAATAAAAAAATAAATTTGAATTGAAATGAGAGAAAAGATGAAATAAAAAAGAAAGAGATAGAAGTAAGAACTGGTAAAGTGAAATGGGTTGAATTTTCAGCTTTTTCTTGCGTCGCTTTGAAGAGGCAGAAGGTTGAAAATTTGGGATTGCGGTTTTCGACATAACCATTACTTCTTCTTCTTGTATGTTCTCTCTCTCTTTTATCCTCTGTATTTTTTTAATGTTGTTTATCTGTAAATTGTGTTTCACTTTGCCCATAGATTTTAATTGCCTTTTCTTTTTCTCTTTTCCTTTCTTTTTACTCTTTCTTTTCGTTATTTATTATTACCTCTATTTTATAATGTTTTAACGTATACTTTATCGATTCTTTTTTACTTGACCAGTTTTGACTTTTACATTATTCACCATTCCTCCTTTGACCGTGTTTTGTGAATAATATATAAGGAAAAAATATTTATGTTGGATCATTTTGAATTCGTCTCAATAAATACTATCATAATATATGACTTTTATATTTTTTAATTATGGAGAATTAAAGTTATTGACCGTTAAAGTTTTGTATTAACAAACGTGATAAAAGAAACAGGTCAAGTAAAAAAAAACAGAGGAAGTAATATATTTCATTTTTGTTCAATTCATATAGACTCCATATTATAATGTTCTAGTTTAATTAAGTCCGTTTTATAATGTTCTCAACATATTTGTTTTATTACATTTTTAACAAGTTAAACTAACTTTATTGAACCTATTTCACTTTTTTTTTTTTAACGGTATTTCACATTATTTTGTATTAAGTGAATCTTCCAATAACCATATTATCGTAGGGGTCTAATAATTTGAGATAAAACTGGTGTATTTCAAATGAAAACAACTCACCACTTTACTTCTTCAATTGGTCATCAATTCTAAAGTTTAAGGCATGGAACACCATCTTTTACTATTGTAACTTAAACTTAAATTAAAGGTTCTTCAAAATCAACACCATCATCTTGCCCATATTGGAATCAATAATTCTTATGGCTAGGTTATTTTATTACTCTGTATTGATGAAATACATTGTTTTGATTCATTTTTCTGCATTATTTTTCCGAAAATAGATTTAATGTACTTCCTTCGTTCTTGAATAATCGAGTATTCTAAAATTATTTTTAATTACATGTATGGGCCATGTGGCATATTAAATTGACATGAATAATAAAAATATCCATTAGTATCCATGGCCCAATACCTTATTACCTTATTAAGCTATAAACTAGCCATATTCGGACGACACGTGGCATACGATGTGGCTAGGTAGCAAATTACGTTGACACGAGAAGATGAAGAAGAAGCAGCAAACGACACGAGTGTGGCTAATTCCAAGCATATTTGGATAACATAGCATGATTGCACACCTTATTTTGTACTATACTCGTTTAGTTTAATCATAGGGAATTTATAGATATTGTAAAATTGAAACTCTAGAATATGGTGTGTGCGATTGGAACATTTTGTTTTCCTAATTGCATTATTATAGAATTCCTAAGTACAGAGGATTATTATCGGTTTCTTTCTAATAATGGTGATTATGATTTTACAATCGATATAGTAAGGAATCATAAATCATAATAATGAGTTTTCATATATATTTTTGAAGAAAATCTTATGTCATGATCCATAGTAATGTGAGTGCATACTTATTATCTCATTATATACGCTAATTTTCATTACATTCCATTATCACATATCACTTGAGAAGTTGAGAGGCGGTATTGAATGATAATGAAATGTTTTGAAGGAAAACACTTGTTCGACTATAAAGGTTAATAGCCTTGTTGGTAATGAACCTGTCTTTTTTTACTAATCTACACGCAAATTTGTTATCATTTTATACCCACGATATATGATTACTTACTAAAGTGTCGTTGTTTTAGCCAACATGTTTGTGTTCAAGGGATTTTAGAATCCAATCATTTGTGTTTTATCTAACATACTTGTTCTTATGTCCGTTTGATTTCGTATGTATGAAATTCAGTTTGAGGATAAAATAGTAATCGGATTCAGGATGAGCTAGGTTACTAGGAGGCTTGGATTAGTGTTAGGAATATAGGAAAATATATTATTGTGATATATTTTCCATATAAATCTTATGATATTATATTTAGGATAATAATATATCTAAGTGATATTCTAATATAGATTTATGGAAGTTTATATGATAGAGTTTATATTGTGTAGGTTATCTTATATAGGCTATAAATAATAGCCAAAATCATCAATACAATTCAAGCTATTCTCTCATAAATAATTTGTCATGGTATCAGAACCAGACCCACGATATGGGACCTTAAATGGCTAAAGTTCATTGGGCCAAGAGTAGGTCCGTGTGAGGGGGAGTGAAGAAGCACTCTAGCCCGAAAAATCACATGAGACAAAGTTAAAAGGGATCTTACATGTGAGAGGGAGTGTTGAAGAATAAACCTCTCAAGTGTCACCACATGTAAGTGTCCCACATTGGTTGAAAAAGAGAGAGTTAAACACTTTATAAGGCTAAGGGGCTACTCCTCCTATTGCCATATGGTTTTGGGATGGAACCTCCTTGGACTTGTGAAGTGGACTCTCTCTCTTAGTTTGCGGGTGCTGACAATTAGACTAGATGTAGGTTTCTTGATTGCAAAAGAACAACCACTTACCTTGATAATAAGCTTGAATAAACTCTATCTAATTCTTAAATCACTTGCCTTGAAGGCTTGAATTAATACGGAGTATTTTCATATGGTTGTTATTGGTTTCGAAATGGAGCTACTTTGAGCTTTGGACAAACTCTTTCAGTTCAAACGTTGGGCCGGCCCATGACTCCCTATTTTTGGAGTTATTAGCCCAATTCAGTTCCTCACTCAAACTTTCTCCATGATATTCAAACTTAATAAAAAATACTAGGTTAGATCCCGTGTCATGCATAGTAATTTTAATATTTATCATTAGTTTAATACAATTATTTTACTATAAAAAATAATATCAAATTGCAAAATAGGATGAAAGTTGATTACATTACAAAGTTATAGATAAGATTACATTATTGTATTATATGACTTTGTTCCCGTCATAAAATAAATAAATAAATAAATCTTTGTTGAACGTGTAAAAATGAATATACTTGCCAAATAGAAAAGAAATATTATTGTAAAGTAAGTATTAAATTAAATACTTCTCTAAGAAGCTTTGGAAAAAAATACCCTTTTGGAGGGAAAATTTTTAATCAAGTTATGACAAGTGTCATTTCTGATTTCGCCTTTAGTATAGGTATATTGATTAACGAATAGTCATGCTTACCATTAGGTTACTACGTCACTCCCCTTGTTCATATGTAATAGACTATCTAAAAGTATTGTAATACAGACTTTGGATAATTCCTATTCCAAAACTTTATGTTCTAACCAATTTGACATCCATAAGTTGGATATTCATCATATATCATAAGTTGGATATTCATCATAAAACTTCACATCAATGTGATATTATCAACTAAGAGTATCAATTAATCGTACTTGTATGTATATCTTTCCTTTCACATTCATAAACTTAGAGATGTTGCATCAAAATTAAAAATTACTACAATGAGATGAGTACTTTGGTACCATAGAAAAGATAGCAAACGACCCATGGAGCCGACATCTTTAGATTTCATACAATAAGATAAGGACCAATCCTATTGTGTGGCCCATGACATGAAATGGGCGTTAAACATGGAGCCATCTTTTCAAATTCAAACCCTCGTCAATTGGTATTACATGCACCATGGTGCACCAGGCCCAATCTGCTACCCAGCCCAAAGGTATCTGCGCCCAATAGAAAGAAGCCCAGTCATTTTTATTTTTTTTTTCACCATTGAATTTTGATATTCTCTTTATTATTTGAAAATCTAAATTCAAACTATAAACAACCATTTTCAATTTTAATCTCTCTCTCTTTTTTTTTGGATATTATTTTTTGTTTTCCTCATTAACAATTTTGATTTTTTTTTTTAACCTCTAAATTACCGGAAGCTTTAAAATTTGCAACAAAAAATGGGAAAAACTCTACTTTCTCTATCCACTTTAATATAAAGTATCCTGTATTTTGTTAAAAAATGAAAAAAAAAATTTGAGCTTTTTAACCAATTTTGGTGGATTGTGCAATAAAATTAGCAAATCTGATGTTAATTGTTCCATATCCCTCATATTGTTGTTCATATATTTCCTGTTTGATGTTCATATAAGTTGTCTTTTATGTCCATATATATGTGCTGTATGAAGCAATAATTTGTGTATAAATTTTATCAAGTATTTGGTATGAATAATAATTTATTTGGATGTTGTGTATTTCCTCTTTTGTTGTTTAATATTTATTTATAGACGAACTAATGAATACCTTAAAGAAACTTTTGAATATCCCCTAAAAGCCCCAATAAATTTATGATAAGCCCCCAGAATTTTCTGATAAGCGACTAGAAAACACTGAACAACCTAAAAAACCTCTGAACCCCCTAGAAAATTTTCTGAACCCCAATTACAAACCACAGAACACCCTTCAAAAACACTTTAACCACCTTCAAAAACCTTTGAACTCTAACCACAAACCACTGAACACCTTACCAAAACCTATACACCCCCTACAAAAACTTCTGAACCCCAACAACAAACAACTGAACAACCTACAAAAACTTTTGAACTCCAACCACAAACCATTAAACACCCTACAAAAACCACTAAACCCCCTACAAAAATTTTTGAGCCCCAACCACAAACCACTGAATACCCTACAAAAACTTTTGAACTCTAACCACAAACCACTGAACACCCTACAAAAAATTCTGAACTCCAACCACAAACCACTAAACACCCTATAAAAACTTTTGAACCCCAACCACAAACCACTAAACACCCTACAAAAACCTCTAAACCCCCTTCATAAACTTTTGAATCCCAATCACAAACCACTGAACACCCTACAAAAAGCTCTGAACCCCGTATAAAAACTTCTGAACCCAAACCACAAGCCACTGAATACCCTACAAAAATCTCTGAACCCCCTACAAAAATTTCTGAACCCCAACCACAAACTACTGAACATCCTTCAAAAACTTCTGCACGTGAAAATACTGCTCAGAATGTTGCTCGACCTTTAGACTTTCCTTACAAACAACTTCATATGTTATAACTGCAATAAACAAACACAATTCGTAATAACTATTACTAGAGTTCAAAAATAAAACAACAAAGTTCAAATACTGGAAAAAATATTCA